TATATTTTAACACCCTTTTTCTTAACGGATGATCCTTATAAAAAACAAATGATAGCTAAGTATAACTAATCATCCCTTTGTATAACTAAAGAGTCGTACTTACCAGCAATGACCCCTATATTTAACTAATGATCCCTAAGAACAGTCAATGGTCTTTACGTATAACTGAGTATGCCTAAAATTAAACTGTGATACTTATTCATAAATAATGAGCCCTAGGTCTACCAAAAGATCACTTTGAATAACATATAATCCCCACTTATAACCAGTGATCTCTTGGTGTACCTAAATATCCCTATGTATGCCAATTGATCACTATGTATAACTAATGCTCTCAATGTAAAATGAATGAAACCTATGTTTAACCAATGATACTTATGTATAACCAATGATCTTTTTGTATAACTTTTGATACTTTTGTATACCCAATGATCCCTAAGTATCACAAAGCTGTACTTAGATTTAACCAATGATCTCTATTTTTAACCAATGATCTCTAACCCTATAAATAACCAAAGTTCCTCAAGTTTAACAAATGAACGTATTGTATAACTAAACAATTTTATACGAAACTATTCATCCCTTTATGTAAGTATTGAACCTTCAAAACATCCAACAGTCTCTACGTATACCAAATTATGCCTATATCGAACCAATGATCCCTATAATTAAATAATAAGCCCGACCAAAAACTCGCTATGAACAACTACAGACCCCTATTATTAACTTATAATCTCAATGTTTACCTAATGATCCCTATGATTGCTTAATGATCCCTAGGTACAACTAAAGATCTCTATGTAAAACGAATAAACTCTATGTATAACAAATGATACCTACTTGTATTTTAAAAATGGATATGTTCAACCAGTGATCTCTAAGTATAACCAATGATCCCTCTGTATACTACTAACCCTATATGTGAATCATGATCCTTGTGTATAACTACTTAGTCCTCTGCTTAACTTAAGTTCCCTGTATATGACTAGTGATCCCTGTTTGCCTAATGGTTACTATGTATAACAACTGATATCTTTGTATACCGAATGATTCTCAAAAAAACTATAAAAAACAAAGATTGATATGTATAAGAAGTGTTCCCTATTTCTTACGGATAATCCCTATAAATAACTAATATACCCTAAAAATAACTAATGAACCCTTCATTTAACCAAAAATTCTTTGTAAAATTAATGATCCCTATATATAACTAATGATCCCTGCAAACAACTAATAGTCTCCTAGTACACCTAATTATGCCTATGTATAAACAATGATACTTTATTAAATACAATGAGCCATTTTTATACCAAAAGATGCTTGTGAATATCAGATGATTCCTGTGTAACACTAATTATCCATATGTGTACCTAAAGATCCCTCTGTTTTAAATAATGTTTCCTTTGTATTCTTTTGATACTTCTTTATAACTAATGATCCCTTTCTTAACGGATGATCCCTAAAAAGAACTAACTATCCCTAATTATAACTAATGAGTCCTTTGTATATCTAAAGAGTCCTAAGTAAAACTATTGATAACTATATATAACTTAAAATCCTTAAAAATATCTAATTATTTCTACGTATACATAATTAGGCTTATATATAACCAATGAATGATCTTTATGTTTGATTAAAGAGCCCTTTGTCTACCAAAAGATTGCTATGAATAACTTATGATCTATATAATTGACTAATGATCTCTGAGTATATTAATTGATCTGTGATCGCAGACTCGAACGACATTTTGACTGCGCTCGAAATCAGGTGATTAAAGATTCGCAGTCTGAACCGCGATTAGCAATGGTTGAGAAAACCGTCGCTTATTCGCATAATCAGAAGAAAACACTGTCGTTATCATGGTTTTTGACAAAACGCAGAGTGTCGGACAAAATACAACAGATTGCCCAATCGTGTTGTCATCTGCCGAAGACGTAGAGGACAGTTAAGGAAAGGAGCATGGCTCGAACGATATGAAAGTGCTGAAGAGCTCATCTCCAAGAAAATCATAAGGAGGGTGGAAGACGACACAGACAACGCCGGAAGTTATCAAGGTTGAATCATCCAGTAGTCCGCCAAGGGCGCAGGAGGCTGATATTTTGAGCAAAAGCAGTCTGATTAGGACACCAAATTTGATATTACGACGAGTATCAAACGGTGGATGTAATATCCGTGCAAAACGATTAGGAGTATGCCGGAGCCAGCGACCCAAAAACTATCAGTAGAGCCGTTGACTAAAGTTGAGTAAATTGCGTCGATAAAAATCGGAACGAGCAAAGAGGTCAGGCCTGAAGATTGGAAAGACGTCATCGTTGAAACCGCAGAATTGGCCATTACCAGTGGTGAGTCTAGTGATCCAATGGCCCTTGATGCTAGATCTGGAACAGCGAAATCGGCCAATACCAGTGGCGAGTCTAGCTATCCAATGACAACCGATGAACTGTCTGCCATCAGCATGACGGAAGAAGATTTCAAAAAAACTTAACTTTCCTATGAAGGGGAGAAAATAAATGAGATTAGATTTGCAATATTGTACCGACGGTACTAATAAAACGAATTTAACGGAGTTCTTGGAACTAAAAACTTTTACGCATTAAAATTGATAAACATTTTATGTTGTTGTCAAATTGTCGAAAGGGGAGTCTAGTAGAGACTAATTAGTAATGCCCAGGTCTTTGTTATAGTTAGCATGAACATAACGTAACGCCATTGGCGCTAGTTTTAAGTTGAATTCAAGTTGATCCTCTTGCGTCTCAGCTTAACATGTAACAACGAGGTTACTTTCTCAGATGATATCAAAACATTGCAGTAAAATTCCATAACACTAGCCGTGGGAGCCGCAAAATCCTTTATTTCGTAACAAGCTTTTCGAAATTTGTAAATTGGAGCAATTCTGCCTTAATAAGTATTTTTCCCTAGCAAGTTGATTTTATTTGAAAAACATTTTTGAATAAAGATAAGCAGTGTTTGACATTTTTTTTCTGTACTTGACGTTTTTGGTCATTGTTTGGCTTTTTTATGAGTTTCCCACCAATGTTGGGTAATTTTGAAAACAAAAGTTGATAATTTTAAAAATGCTGCAGCTTCTTGAGACTGAAAACTGAAACAGGAGTCAAGAAAATTGACCAGCATTGGCACGAATAAAAAACCCACTTAAACTGCAAACATGAGATGTGCTCATTGACAAAAGCTATGCTTTCGTTTCAACTTTTTCTACTCAAATACACAACTGCAAACCTGAGTGTCAATGCCAATCAAGTCATAAAAGCAGGAAGTAGTTAAGTTTTTTTACATTAAAATGTAGATTTTTTTAAATATCGAACCTGAAAATTCGAAAAGTAGCTGTAACTGTTGGGCATTTTTAGAATCAATTAGCTTCGTCATTATGCGCAATTCAAAACATATCGGCCATTATGCGCAAAATCGAATTAAGTGCAAAGTTTGCGGATTCGACTTACATTTTGCGGAATCCACTTACAGTTGCGGAATCCAGATCAACTAGCTATATTTGCATGTTGCGGAATCCGCAACAAAATAAAAGTGCCGATAAAATTTACGTTACAGTTATTTGTACGCGGAATCCACTGAAGTTTTGTCTGTAGAATCCACTAACATTTTGGAAAATATTTAAAGACTTGTCTCTGGAATCCAGAAATATACAGACACAAAATTGTGCGCCTATCCATTGCACAGTTTGGTCTCGTGTTGATTTTGATTAAATTCTTTTTTTCAAATTGCTATGAAGTTTCAAACATAAAATCGAATTATGCGCAAAATTTTCTGAAAACAACCTGAACTAACAGCGGGAAGCCTTAAAGCTCATGTTTTTTGGTTAGCTCGTTAAAAATTAGAAATTTGAACTCTCCTCATCTCAATATATTTGATTGAGTCGGCTAAGTTTTGCTCAAAAGGTCGTTTCGAAGAGATATTAACAGTGCTCAACCTATTTTGATTGTATCCGTCTTGAGTTTGACCATGCCTGGCCTATTGTTTGAATTGTTCTACCAAACATGGATATATTGTGACGCATACAATGACGCATGCGTAGACATTCTGCTCGACTTAAAACTGCTTTTCGACCGCAAAAATCAGTCATAAACATGCAGCTTTTTGATATTGACAGGCGAAATAGAAGGCAAGTTTGACCAGGTTTGAATGGAGGAAAATGTCAGAAACACTTTGAAGTAGAGATATCCGCTTTGACAAAAGGCTAAGGTCGCAAAACTTCTTTTTCATAAAAAGGTTTCAGTGGCAAAACTGCAATATCTTATTTCAAATAAAAATACAGTTGAGATTGGAAAATATTTGCGATGAATTTTGTATATGGTCAGCTATTGAATGCATTCTATTGATTGCAAAACTCACGTCAAAGTATTGACTTGAAATCAATTTGGTTTTGCCCGTCAATGTGAACTATTTGTTAAGTACCTCCTTCTCAAAGTTATGATATAACGTTTATAATATTTTTGGACTCTGTAGACTTTTTCAACAACATTTTTCTTAAAAACGTGAGTGAAACTAATCAGCTTAACGGCTTCAATTGATAATTTTTAAACTTGAATTTAGCAATTAATTCTGCAAAAAAGAGTAACTTTTTGTATTTTTTTGTTTTTTTTTTGAAGCAAGACATAATTTGGGTGTTTTAATTTTCTCGACCAAAAGTTTCTCCAACATTTAATTTTCTCCACCAAAGGCCAATCAATATATTCTTGTGAGCCATGCAGGCTTACAGAATATTTCGGATACCAATGTCCGATACCAACCTATAAGTTAAATATATTCATTATATTCGACTTTTTCGGGACTTTGTGGGTTTTTTACCTTATATTTTCAGACAATTCGGTCGAACTTTTCAACACCCCCTGTAATACTTTTGGTGCACCCTTTAACCATATACAAGGTATTTTAAACTAGTATCGGGCAGCTTGAACTAGTTAAATACCCTTAGAAAAACTGTCGATTGATTGTTAGAATAATTATTTACAAAGAATAGGTTTATTTCCAGTCAGTTAATTGAAACATAAAAAATCTAATTAAGCATTGAACAATCATTTGGCACTCATTCAATCAGACATCATGATTGGTTTGTTCTTGTTCGTGTAAGTTGAAACCGACCAATGAGATAAGAACTTATAGTCGTAGCGTCACTTGCAAATCGGCTGTTCTTTGGTGTCGTAACACACTTGGCATTCAACTTGACAGCACCAATGAAACACACAGTTGCATTCAACAGCAATCTCTCTTCGGATAAGTTCAAACTGCCCCGAGCAGCAGGATATTTCGCATTCTTTGTGGTTGGCTGTTTCCGAGGGGCACTCGGCTCCCGACTCCAGACACACCGCCTCGGACTCCATGCTAGAGTATACCATCTGGGTTTTCCTGGCTTGTTCGAATGGGTCATCGGTGGGCACCAAATTGGGAAGTTCGGTTTTGGAGGAGAACTCATTGCCAAGTTTCACCTAGCAAAAAATTAAGCGTAATACTTGTCTATAAGTTCAATAATTTCTAAATTCAATCCGTTTTTTCTAAATTAGTTGCTTAGCTCAAAACGCAATGAAATTTCGATAAACCGCGACAAAAAAGGAGAGAAAAAACCAATGCAACTTAATCAAATTTATCATCAGAGTTCGGCAAATTTTCACCAGATATTGCAAAGATAAAGGCTCCAAAAGCTAAGTTATTGGCGAAAGAAATGAGCTGGGACAGAAGGTCTAACTCATAGAGTAATTTCAGATAAGGTACACCGTCTGCTCGTCACGCTATCTTATTTTCGGCCGGATAAATTCGTGCAACTTCTTAGTCTAATACCGATCTTAATCTTACTCTTATATCTCTTAGTCTCAATATATCTAGAGTATACTGGTTTGTTACGAGTTGGTCTCTTGGAAGAAGCAACTAAGCTGTAAGTTAAATTCAGAATAATCTGGTGCTGAAACTACAAGTAATTTCAGCACTTACAAATAAATGGGTTGTTAGTTAGATGGATCATGATTGGTCAGTATTAAAAATTTTATAGTGATAAAATATTCAATAATAAAGTATAGTTTAGATCTGGTTCCAGAGACATGATTCATAAACAACGATATTAAAAAAACACCGTGTGTATCCATGATTTGTATGAAAAAATAAATTTATTTATTTTGATTGGATTTTCTGACGGAATAAACGTGCCCAAGAAAAGGTTGAAAAAAGGAGAAATTTGTGCTCACTTTATGGATAATTTTCAGCGGAAGTTTTGTTTTTATCTTGGCCGGTTCCCTTTTTGAAAACAAAATGAGACTACCAGAAGCCGAAACAACGTGTTTTTTGAGGATTTGTGTTTTGATTGACTAAAACTTCAACATTTTTGAATATGAAAAGGTTTCTTCAAGAGCCTTATGAAACTATCAGACTCTGAATGTTCCGACTTTACTTAAGGCCAATTGAATAATTTGTTTGGTTGAATCAGAAGTAATTGTTTTTCATTTTTTCTTCGTTTTATCCCCCTACACGCTTTGTAAAAGACGGTTCCCAAGCTTATCACCCAGCGTTTTTTAACCCCTTTTTCTTAACCACCTCTGATATAAGCCCAGATCTAGATTGCTCCACTACAATTTAACCCCTTTTTGAACCAAATCGTTAGAATCAAAAGGGAACTTGCTTTAAAGGAGTTCGGAAACGTCGGTAAACGTCAAAGCTTTAATTGCAAAAATTGTTGTGTTGCAAAACGAAATAACATGCAAGCTGCCAGAGGCAGTTTAGATTTGAACAGAAAAGACCTTACCGATAGTCTAGACTTTGAAATGAACTTGAAAATAATCCGATCGGCATGATTCAAGTTATTGGACAAAAATGATTAGATTTCGCCAAAACTGAACCTGATTTTGAAAACTATTTTGCTGAAAATAGATTAGATGGTTGAACTTAAATGATTTATGGAATGAAAATTGACAAGAGACAGCATTTTGCAAATGCGAGTCAAGCCTATGCCTTTTTTACGTCTCTGGAAGAGTGCAAAGAGACATCTTTTCACAAACAAAAGGAAAAAACTTTTTTATTTAAAAATATATACAAAGAGCAAACGAAAAAAAGTTTAGTTTACGTTCGCCGTAGTGCGAAAAAAATAGAACTCAGTTTTCTCTTCGTTAACCTGCATATGATTCTTCTTTTTTCGTTCAGGACTCAGTACTTTTTGTTTTTTTTGTAAACTGGTGCCCGCTCGAGGCGTTAGGGAGACTACGTTTTTGAACGGTGGCATGTTTTTGCAAGTTTGCTTATTTTTTTCCATATAACAGGGTGTGAATAACTAAATATAACTGTATGTCATAATGCCAGCCCTCCGCAGCATTTTTTTTCTTGCCAAATCGGATGCTGCCGCATCTCTTTGGTTCCATAGTGAAATGAGGATCAGGACTTCTCGGTTCGGAACGAGACTTTCAGGTAGTTAGATCCAAAATACAGGCAACGCTCGTCAACATTTGCATTTTTTCCGACTCGTTTATGGTGCGACATCTTACTAATTAAACTTCATCGTTTATTATCGTACCAGCTAATATTTCTTCTTCTTTTTCAAAAGCTAGTGAGGGTAACAGCGTAAGTGCTAATGCAAGCTCATGTTTGTTTTGTACTCCTTTTTTTTGTCCGAGTTCCGCAATTTTTCTTGTAAATTTTTGAGAAAGACGAAAAAAAACATCCAGATAGCTTCGTTTCAGGGACGTTTTTTCAAAAGGTTTGAAGAGCGGCCTGCTCGAAACCTCGCAACATTTTTTCAGGTTTACTGACAGGGGTTAAGTTTTTCAGAGCATCTAAGAAACGCTGGTATAATTTTTTCGGTTTTGTTCGGTAATAAGACATGTTAGCAAGCCGGGTTTTTCCTAAAAAACTGTAGAAAAAAATTTTAAAAAGTTTTAGGAGTAAGCTCAGTCAGCCAACAAAAAATTGTTTTTTTTTTCGAGCACACAATTTGACTTTTCCTGATCATTTTGTCCACCGTCAGTTCCTACAAAACTTTTGAACCGCTTACGTACTTCAGAGTTTTTTTTTGCGGGGGGACTGGTAAAGATTTTTCTCGTTAATGCGCATGCTTTGTGCAGTTCAAAGTAAATTTTCCTAAAATGGTAGGGCTAATTGCGTGGCAATATCGTCTGTTATGGCCTGAATTGCTGTGGTGACTGCGATGGTCGGGGTATTACTCCCGCTCAAGTCCTTGGTATTTTTCAAAATAAGTCGAGCATCAGGTTTTCCTGTAGATATTTCAAGATTATTCCCACCTCTCGTTTGAAAAAAATTTTCGCCATTCGTTGTTGCTGTTGCTCGGCAATTATAAGTTTGGTATGTTCAGTAGTTCCTGTTTGTAGTGGTTTTGTTTCTACATTTAGGATAATACTTGTGGTCCGATACCACCAATCTCTCTTTTCTTTAAGATTATAGATTATAGCTAGTAAAAAGGGTTTCAGGTTGAGCTCAAGATAACAACCTCTCTCAGATGCTATAGAAAAATTCCGTCAAAATCTCTTATTTAACAAGTCGAAAAATGACTCACTAAAATCGCCACACCAATGATAGATATTCCTCACTTTCTTCAAAAGTCGAAATAATAACTCATTTTGAGTGAAAAAAGTATGAGTTTCCATTTGTTTTCCATTTGTTGCAAATTAAGAGTGTATGAGCCTGGTGAAATAACTGTTGCATTTAAACACTCTCAGGGGTTGCATTTTTAGGGCTTCTAAGAAATGATAGTATGTTTTTTTTTCGTTTTGTTTGGTAAGAAGTTATATTTGCCAGAGGGGGTTACTCCTAAAACGTATAGGAAAAAATTGATAAATGTTTTAAGAGTTATTTTGAAAGTTCAGTCAGCCAACCAAAAGTTTGAGTTTTTGAGCACACGTAGCACTTCTGGATCACCGAACAAAATAAGCTTTTCCTGATTATTTTGTCCGCTGTCAAATCTTACAAAACTTTTAAACCGCTCAGGTACTTCAGATTTCTTTTTGCTGCTGGGGACAGTGGTAAATTATTTTCTTGTTGTTTGTGCATGCTTCGTGCAGTTCAAACCAAGTTTTACTAAAGTGGTAGGGCTAATTGAGTGGCAAAATGGTCTAATATGGGCTGAATTGCTGTGGTGACTGCGATGGTCGGGGTATTACTCCCGCTCAAGTCCTTGATATTTTTCAAAATAAGTCGAGCATCAGGTTTTCCTATAGATATTTCAAGATTATTCCCACCTCTCATTTCAATGAAAATTTCACCATTCGTTGGTGCTGTTGCTCGGCACTTTTGAGCTTGTTAAGTTGAGTATTTCAAGTTCATGGTGGTTTTGTTTTCACGTTTAGGATAATGCTCGTGGTCTGATGCGACTATTCAGTTTTTTTCTTCGAAGAATAAAATTAAAAAGGGAGGACGCTTAAAGGTTATAGCTTACAAAATGGTAACACGATCGTTCAAATGTAAGACAGTATAAGTTCATGCAAAGTTGTTAAAGTTCTTGAGTTGCTTTTTATTAGCACCATATCTGATCAAATTGTATGCTAGAGGCATCAAAAGAATTAAGACTGCCCTTTCAACCCTCAATTAGAACAGCTAATTGAAATACTCCTGTAGTTAAAAAATATACTTAACTTCAAACAATTTATCGGTATCAAAGGGGGTTTAAAATTTTGTGGAGTTATCTTGTTACAGTGTTGTAAAGTAAGGGTTTCAGGTTGAGCTCAGAAGAACAACCTCTCTCAGATGCTATAGGAAAATTCCGTCAAAAACTCTTTATTAACAAGTCGCAAGATGACTCCTTAAAAAGGCCAAACCAACCGTAGATATTCCTCTTTTTCTTCAAAAGTCGGAGCATTAACTCATTTTGAGTGAAAAAAAGTTTTAGTTTCCATTTGATTTCCTTTTTTTGCAAATTAAGAGCGTATAAACCTTGTGAATTAACTGATGCATTTAAACACTCTCAGGGATTGCATTTTTAAGGCTTCTGAGAAACGATAGTATGTTTTTTTCCGTTTTGTTTGGTAAGAAGTTATATTCGTCAGAGGGGATTACTCCTAAAACGTATAGCAAAAAATTGATAAATGTTTTAAGAGTAATTTTGAAAGTTCAGTCAGCCAACCAAAAGTTTGAGTTTTCGAGCACACGTAGCACTTCTGGATCACCGAACAAAATAAGCTTTTCCTGATTATTTTTTCCGCGGTCAAATCTTACAAAAATTTTAAACCGCTCATGTACTTCAGATTTTCTTGCTGCTGGGGAGAGTGGTAATTTCTTTTCTTGTTGCTTGCGCATGCTTCGTGCAGTTCAAACCAAGTTTTACTAAAGTGGTAAGGCTAATTGAGGGGCAAAAATGTCTAATATGGGCTGAATTGCTGTGGTGACTGCGACGATCGGGGTATTACTCCCGCTCAAGTCCTTGGTATTTTTCAAAATAAGTCGAGCATCAGGTTTTCTGTAGATATTTCAAGATTATTCCCACCTCTCATTTCAATGA